GAGACTCCATCCCCAAAAAAAAAAAAAGATAATTTATCTTTCTCTCTTTCTCTCTCTCTCTGACACTTGCTTTAGAGGGCCACATTAAAAAAAAAACTAGTTGCCATGCTGGGAAGAGGTTTGGGTTACACAGGTGTATGCACTTATCAAACTTAGTGAAGTGTGTTAATTTCATTATATGTAAAGTTTACCTCAAAAGCAAATATTGAATGCCAGTTAAAGATACGCCTGTAATCCCACTTCTTTGGGAGGCCAAGGCGGGAGGATCACTTGAGGCCAAGAGTTTGAGACCACCCTGGGCAACACAGCAAGACCCATCTCTACAAAAATAAATAAGCAAATAAATAGCCAGGTGTGGTGGCACACAATTTGTAGTCCCACTACTGGGGACAGAGAGGGGCACTGAGGCGGGAGGTTTACTTTGAGCCCAGGAGTTCAAGGCTGTATTGTAGTGAACTAAGATCATGCCACTGCCCTCCAGCCTGGGCTACAGAACTAGACCCTGTCTTTAAAAAAAAAAGAATTTAAGAGAAAAAAAGTATGTACACTGAGCTATTTAGGGAACAATATACCAATGTTGGCAATTTATTTTGAAATGCATCCAGAGATGGGTTGATGGATAAATAGGGTAATAGGTAGATGTGAGATAAAGCAAATATAGCAAAATGTTCATGGTAGGATCTCAGTGGTGGATCTAAGTGGCGTCCACTGTAAAATTTTTCAACTTCGCTGTATATTAGAAACTTTTCATAATAAAATGATGGAGAATATATGATTGGGGTTGTTTTGATATCTGCATTTATAAAACGGAGGGATAAGATGGATATCTAGCAACTTCTGTATGTCACAGACATGGTAAATACTTGTTTCCAACCTTTCTTTTTTTTTTGAGATGGAGTCTTGCTCTGTCACCCAGACTGGAGTGCAGTGGTGCAAACTCGGCTCATTGCAACCTCTGCCTCCTGGGTTTAAGCGATTCTCCTGCCTCAGCTTCCCAAGTATCTGAGATTACAGGTGCATGCCACCACGCGTGGCTATTTTTTTTTTTTTTTTTTTGTATTTTTACTAGAGACAGGGTTTCACCATGTTGGTCTGGCTGGTTTCGAACTCGACCTCGTGATCCACCTGCCTCGGCCTCCCAAAGTGCTGGGATTACAGGTGTGAGCCACCACACCCAGCCGGTTTCTAATATTTCTAAGCAAACCATACATTTAAATGAAATCAGAGTGGGCACAGTGGCACACGCCTGTAATCCCACCACTTTGGGAGGCCGAGGCGGGCAGATCACTTGAGGTCAGGAGTTAGAGACCAGGCTGGGCCATATAATAAAACTCTGTCTGTACTAAAAATTAGCCAGGCGTGGTGGCAGGTGCCTGTAGTCCCAGGTACTTGGGAGGCTCAGGCAGGAGAATTGCTTGAACCCGGGAGGCAGAGGCTGAAGTGAGCTGAGATGGTGCCACTGCACTCCAGCCTGGGCAACAGAGTGAGACTCCATCTCAAAAACAAACAAACAAACAGTATAATCGACAAGAAAAATAGCTGTTGAGATATAAGGAGAAATGAAAGATGTTACAGTAGCAGAACCTGATCTAGCTGGGTCACTGGTGGAGTCTAGAAGCGTTCCTGAGGAACTTACATGTAAGCTGATAGAAATTATCTAGTTAACAAAGGGCTGTCCTAATTACTCTTATTGGATAACCGCTCCCAAAACTTAGTGGCATAAAACAATTATTTTATTATGCTCCTGGATTCTGGGAGTCAGAGGTTTGGACAGGGCTCAGTTGGGATCAATTTTTGATGCTCCATGATGTCTGGGGATTCAACTGGAAGGACTCAAAGGTGACTTGATAGACTTGATGGCTGTGGAGTGGAATCCTCAGGAACTTCTTCCATGGTCTTCTCCCGGTCTGACTGGGACTACTGACTGTAATGCCTATACATAGCTCCATTGGTTTGGGCTTCCTTAAAGCATGGCTGCTTCAGCATAGTCACACTTCGCATATGATGCACCGTGGTTCTATAGCTCATTCCAGTGGACAAGAACATTGGTCAAGAAGCTGCATTGCCGTTCATCGCATAGCCTTAGAAATCGCTGTGTCACTTCCTCTGTTTTCTTTTTTTTTTTTTTTTTTTTTTTGAGGCGGAGTTTCGCTCTGTCGCCCAGGCTGGAGTGCAGTGGCCGGATCTCAGCTCACTGCAAGCTCCGCCTCCCGGGTTCACGCCATTCTCCTGCCTCAGCCTCCCGAGTAGCTGGGACTACAGGCGCCCGCCACCTCGCCCGGCTAGATTTTTGTATTTTTTAGTAGAGACGGGGTTTCACCGGGTTAGCCAGGATGGTCTTGATCTCCTGACCTCGTGATCCGCCCGTCTCGGCCTCCCAAAGTGCTGGGATTACAGGCTTGAGCCACCGCGCCCGGCCACTTCCTCTGTTTTCTATTGGTTGAAGCTATCTCAGTCCCACCCAGATTCATAGAAAGCAGTCATAGACTCCGCATCTTGATAAGAAGAGTATCAGAGAATTTGCAGCTGTTTTAAAATCACTGCAGGACCCCATTCTCCATGATGTGATTATTACACATTACATGCTGGTATCAAAACATCTCATGTACCCTCTCAATATATATACCTAAATATACCTATTTTGTACCCAGAAAATTAAAAATTTTTTTAAAAAAATCACTGCAGGGGTTGATGGGGAAACACTCCAGACAGAGGTAATATCGTGTGGGAAGTCCCTGTAATGGGAGTGAGGTCAGCAAATTTAGTACATAAGTAACTGCACATTCACTCCTCCCTCAGCACTCCCTTTCACCAGCCCTTGCTTAATTATTCTCCATAGAATGAATCACCTTCTAATATTCTTTTTTTTTTTTTCCAGACAGGGTCTTGCTCTGTCTCCCAGGCTGGAGTGCAGTGGCAAAATCTCGGCTCACTGCAACCTCCGCCGCCTGGGTTCAAACAGTTCTCCTGTCTGAGCCTCCCCAATAGCTGGGATTACAGGCATCCGCCACCACGCCTGGCTAATTTTAATTTTTGATTTTTAGTAGAGATGGGGTTTCACCATATTGGCCAGGCTGGTCTTGAACTCCTGACCTTGTGATCCTCCCACCTCAGCCTCCCAAAGTGCTGGGGTTACAGGCGTGAACCACCGCCCCCAGCATTTTTTTTTTTTTTTTTTTAGACAGAGTCTCACTCCAACACCCAGGCTGAAGTGCAGTGGCGTGATCACGGCTCACAGCAACCTCTGCCTCCTGGGTTCAACCAATTCTCTTGCCTCAGCCTCCCAGGTAGCTGGGATTACAGGCACACCCGCCACCATGCCTGGCTAATTTTTGTATTTTTAGTAGTGATGGGGTTTCTCCATGCTGGCCAGGCTGGTGTTAAACTCCTAACCTCAAGTGATCTGCCTGCCTCGGCCTCCCAAAGTGCTGGGATTACAGGTGTGAGCCACCATGCCTGGCCTAATACTCTATGTATTTTTTAATGTTAATTTTGTTCATTGTCTTTTCCCAGTAGCTTTTGAGCTCCAATGTGGGCAGGGTATGTTTTCTTCTGGTTTGGTTATTGATGTATCTACAAATTGATCAGAGTTTGAGTGAATGAATGAATGAATGAATGAACAGACCAAGACCCTCTGAGGTGAGAATCTTGTCGAGGGCATGACCAAGGAGAGACCCTCTTGTGAAGGGCATTATTACAGTGTTATCTGGGCTTGCTCAGAAGTAGCAGGTCTATTGGAATTGCTTTATGGGGGGCATAAGTATGATCTGGCATTTCCCCCTAAATGTTTTCCTAGGGGAAAAAAAAAAAAAAAAAAATCAAGGCTGGAGATTGGCCCGTAATAAGCAGTAGAAGGGGAAACAAGAAAATGTCCAGTGGGCAGGGGGAGGCCAAGTCTCAGAAAGCCTTGGGTATGGTGTATAAGGCAAGGTGTATGAGGCAATGAGAAACGTCCATGGACGGAGCATCCTGGGCATTATGTGAGCGGGGTCGGGATCAGGACTGAAAAGGTGAGACTTGGGACTGGGACTTTGAAAAGCTGCTTGAGGAATGGGGCACTGCTCTGAGGCCATGGGAGAATCCAATTAAGAATATTAGGCCGGGCCCGGTGGCTCACGCTTGTAATCCCAGCACTTTGGGAGGCCGAGACGGGCGGATCACGAGGTCGGGAGATAGAGACCATCCTGGCTAACACGGTGAAACCCTGTCTCTACTAAAAATACACACACACACACACACACACAAAAGCCGGGCATGGTGGCAGGCGCCAGTAGTCCCAGCTACTCGGGAGGCTGAGGCAGGAGAACGGCGTGAACCCAGGAGGCGGACCTTGCAGTGAGCTGAGGTTTCGCCACTGCACTCCAGCCTGGGCGACAGAGCGAGACTCTGTCTCAAAAAAAAAGAAAAAAAAAAAAAAAAAAGGGAATATCAGGGGCTGGCGTAGTGGCTCACGCCTGTCATTCCAGCGCTTTGAATGGAGGCTGAGGCGGGAGGATCTGTTGAGCCCCAGAGATCAAGACCATCCTGGGTAACACAGTGAGACCCCCACGTCTAAAAAAATTAGCCAGGCGTGGTGGCGCGCGCCTGTATTCCCAGCTACTTGGGAGGTATCGCTGGAGCCCAGGAGGTTGAGGCTGCGGTAAGCCGCGATTGCAGGACTGCGCTCTAGCCTGGGCGACAGAGCGAGACCCTGCCTCTTAAAAAAATAAAAATAAAACGTCAGAAGAATGGCCACTGGGAGTGGACGAAGGGGAGGGTCTGTTGCTTGGTGTTGGAAGTGTCGGAAGCAAAGCATAAAGAACCTGGGGGCATGGCTCAGGAGGGCGATGACAGCCAATGAAAAGCAGTCATGGGCGTGGCGCTGTCAAACTTCGGGGGGCTGGGCCCGAATATACAGAGCCGGGGAGGAGCCCAAGGTAAAGCCAATGAGAAGCCGCCTGGTGGGCGGGGCATCGACTAGGGCCAAGGGCGGAGCCAATGAGAAGCAGCGCCGCGTTCCCGCTGCCCCCCGCCCCCGTGGGGCGCGCGCCGGAGCCACGGGCAGCCGTTAGGGGCGGGGTCTGCAGCCGCCCGCGCGCGGCTCGCGCCCTCCCCTTTGTGTCGCCATGGCGGCGGCAGCGGCGACGAGAACGGCGAGCGAGGGGTCGAGCGCGGCCGGGGCCTGAGGAGGCTACGCGACCATGGTGGTGAGGGTCCCACGCGGCCGTCAGCCTGTCCGTCCGCGTGTCAGTCTGTCCGTGCGCAGCCCCGCCCCGCGCGCCCCGCCCCCGGCCCCGCCCGAGCCCGCGGCCTGTGCTTCTGCCGTGGTCCCTCCAGTCCTGTGGCCCCATCCCAGGTCCCAGCCCGTACCTCGACCCCGCCCCCTCAGCGCGCATCCCCTTCTTCCACGCCCTGGATGGGGTGACAGGGACCTAGGGCCCGGGCTGGGAGGAGGCGGGGCTGGTCCAGGAAGGGACTCGCGCTACCCAAGTGGCCCTCGAAGAGGCCTCCTGAGGCTCCTGGGTCTTTCCCCAGCCCCTATCCCAGCACCTTCCTCGGCATCCTTCTGCCAGCCCTCAGCCCTCCCCGGCGGAGCCCCCTCCTCCTCCCCACAGCCCCTTTCTCATTCCTGAGCCCCACCCCCACCCGCTCCATCCCCAGCCTGACCCTTTTCTTCTCCTTCTCCCTCATTTTCACCCCATCCTGGTTCCTCTCAATCCCCCCTGCCCAGCATCAGTCTGAGCCTTTGCCTCATCTCTCCAGCCACTCCCTCCTTACTCCACCCCAACAGGCCAGCACTCTACCTCCCTTGATCCTCGGGTCCGCTCCATCTCCTTGTCCTCATCCCCCTCCCCCACCATCTCCCTCTCTCACCATGCTGCTCCCGCTCATTCATCCATTCATTCCCTCACTTAGCAGACATTCACTGAGACCGCCTCTGTGCAGGCTCCATGCTCCAGGCACAGAGAGAGTCAGCTCCCATCCTGCCTTGGGGAACCTCATGGGCTGGAGGGGGAAAGACCCTGAGGGTGAGACCCTGAGGGTGACTCGGGGTTGCAGGGACATGGAGGAGGGAGATGCTACAGCCCAGTCTGGTGAATCTGTCTGGCAGCTGGTTAATTTATTCATCAGATTTTACCCAGCCCCTGCTGTGCGACTGGGCTGGCACTGGGGACCCAGAAAATAATCAGGAACAATCCTGTCTGAACATCAACTCCATGCCCGGCTGTATGCTGGGGAGCTCAGTCTGGGGCCCTCCTTCTGGGAGGCCAGTCATAGTCCAATGAGAGAGATGAACTTGTCACCACCAGTGCCATCTCAGAGTGATCAGAGCTGTGAAGGGAGAAGCTCAGGTCGAGGCATGGAACCTGGGATGGGGGAACTTAAGGGGATGGAGAGAGTCCAGAAGAGATGCCAGGCACAGCCTGAAGGGTCAGGGAGAACTTCCTGGAGGAGGGCACATGTGAGTTGGGACCTAAGGGGTGGGAGTGAGGATGAATATACCCCAGGGAAAGGTGGGGCAAGTGTTCCAGGTTGAGGGAACAGCCTTTGCAAAGGCCTAGAAGGAAATGAGAAGAGGGTGCTTGTTTTGGACTCTTAGAAGTTCAAGAGCTCTGCGAGTGGGGGCAATGGAAAGAGATGGGACTGGAGAGGTAAACAGAAATCAGCTCAGGGAAGTCTCGATTATCAGACCAGAGAATTCAGACTTCATCTTGAAGACAACAGGGAGTCATTGAAGGCCCAGGATCTATGGAGAAACAGAGCTAGATTTGTGTTTTCTGAAAACAATCCAGGCTGTTGCTGAAAAGCTGGCAGGAGGGGAGAGGCTGGAAGCAGGAAGGCTGATGAGATGGGAGCCGTGATTGTCCAGACAGTGGTAGGAGGTCGCTGTACTCTGCAGGGGTTATGGAAGGGTTTTCAGCAGGGAGAGATGGGACCAGCATGCTCTCCGTCCTGTTGCCCTGCCTCACGTCTGGCCCCTTCTTCTCCAGTCCACCACCCCAGACCACACACGAAGAAGCAGTCCTGTCCTCAGCCCAGCCCTAACCTCCCCCGACCTGCCCTCCTGCTTCATGCTCAGGGCGGTGTGTGGAGCGCCCCGGGCTCTGGGCCCTGTGCTACCAGATAACAATGCTCTCGTTGTCTCTTTGCTCCCATCTCTGGGGGCCTCTGATTCTTCTCTCTGCTCTACAGGCACGCAGCACTGACAGCCTGGATGGCCCAGGGGAGGGCTCGGTGCAGCCCCTACCCACTGCTGGGGGGCCCAGTGTGAAGGGAAAGCCTGGGAAGAGGTGAGGGTGAGGGAGGAAAGGGCTCAGCTAGGAGCTGGGGAGGCTCAAGGAGCCGCTGGTGATGCATCCCCTGTCTCCCAGGCTCTCAGCTCCTCGAGGCCCCTTCCCGCGGCTGGCTGACTGCGCCCATTTCCACTACGAGAACGTCGACTTTGGCCACATTCAGGTATGGGGGCTTTGCATTTGCACCCAGGAGGGAAGACAATATCCTACGCAACCTTGCAATGATATCAGCTGCTGTGCTTCTGAAACCTGTCCCTGTGACTGGCTGCTGCATGCATCTGAGCAGTCAGTAGCAAAAGTTGCAGGAGCCACAGCAGATGGGGAGAGCTGCTCATTCATTCATCCATTTGTTCTTTTATTCATTCAGCGACAACTTTTGTTAGGTATCTGCTCTGTGCCAGGGACCAGCACATCACCAGGCCCTGTCCTCGGGGAGGTCCAGAAAGGGGACACAAACCCATCCCTAGAGAGTGCCATCCCGGGGAGGTCAGAAAATGGGACAAAAGTCCACCTGGGCCTTGCTTTCCCTCTGCAGCTCCTGCTGTCTCCAGACCGTGAAGGGCCCAGCCTCTCTGGAGAGAATGAGCTGGTGTTCGGGGTGCAGGTGACCTGTCAGGTGAGGCCACCCCGCCTCTCATCTAGCCTGGGAGACTGGCCACAGTAGTCCTCAGCTCGGTGTCATGGGGCCCCTGCTCCCTTCTGTCCCTCTGCTCCCACAGGGCCGTTCCTGGCCAGTTCTCCGGAGTTACGATGACTTTCGTTCCCTGGATGCCCACCTCCACCGGTGCATATTTGACCGGAGGTTCTCCTGCCTTCCTGAGCTTCCCCCGCCCCCCGAGGGTGCCAGGGCTGCCCAGGTAACCTGCTTGTTGTCTCAGCCCCTGCCTCGTGAGTGTGTCCTCATCCACAGTGTGTGAAATCATCAAGGCAGCAGGATAGAAAAATATTTAAATACTGGTATGGCCCAAGTCCCAACCAATCTGAATGAATGGAGAAACCTTAGAAATGTAGTAGGCTTCTGCTACATTTAGCTTCACTAAGTTTTAGGATCATGGGGAGTTCCAGGGGGTCCCATGGGAGGGTCACCATGGTCTTACCAACCAGGGCACTCAAGAGCTTGGCCCAGCCCAGCCTACTTACTCATTCATATGCCCATATCTCAGTACCTAACAGCTGAGTAGCACCCATGCGTTCAGGATGAACTTCAGCCCAGAGGCAAGCTAGGGCAGTGTGGGAGGGCAGTGGGCTCTCTCACGTCCACTCACAGAGGCCCACCCTGACAACCTGCCCCCAGATGCTGGTGCCACTGCTACTGCAGTACCTGGAGACCCTGTCAGGACTGGTGGACAGTAACCTCAACTGCGGGCCTGTGCTCACCTGGATGGAGGTGGGCCTGGGCAGGGGGCTTGGAGTTCAGAGTGGGTGAGGGGGTGTCTGAGGGGCGAGAACCAGCCTGGGAGTGTGTGTGGGCATAGAAAAGAAAGGAGCCAGAGTGGAGGAGGCATTGATATTTTAGTGTCTGTGTGGGCGCATGCCTGTGAGAGAATGTGTATGAGTATGTGTGTGCACGTGTGTGTGTTAGCAGGTGTTCGGCTGTGAGGATACAAGGATTTAAATGTATATCAGTTAGAAATGGGTTGGGCTGTAACTCACAGAACACCTGGCTATGAGTGGCTTAAACCAGAAGGTTTTTTTTTTTTTTCTTTTGTTTTTGAGACAGAGTTTCACTTTTGTTGCCCAGGCTGGAGTGCAGTGGCATGATCTCGCTCACCACAACCTCTGCCTCCCAGGTTCAAGTGATTCTCCTGCCTCAGCCTCCTGAGTAGCTGGGATTACAGGCATGTGCCACCACGCCTGGCTAATTTTGTATTTTTAGTAGAGATGGGGTTTCTCCATGTTGGTCAGACTGGTCTTGAACTCCCGACCTCAGGTGATCTGCCCACCTCAGCCTCCTAAAGTGTTGGGATTATAGGCGTGAGCCACTGTGCCTGGCCTCTGGCTAATTTTTTTTTTTTAAATATTTTGTAGAGACAGAGTCTTGCTTTGTTGACCAAACTGGTCTTAAACTCTTGGGCTCAAGCGATTCTCTAGCCTCGCCCTCCCAAAGTGCTGGGATTACAGGCGTGTGCCACCACGCCCAGCACAGAGGGTTTTTAGATGGCAACCATGCGGTATCTGCTGTGGAGGATGAAGGTGCAGAGGTGGATGGGGAAGCCTTCAGGTGGGGAAGCCTTCGGGTGGGAGAATCGTGGGACATGTGAGGGGAAATAAAGGGGTTTGTCTTAGAGGTTTCCCCACCTCCAGAGGGTGCCAGGGCTGCATCCCTACAAACAGGAATTTAGGTGTTTGACCAATAGCTCTGTGTGACAGGGGCTCTTGGCAGGGGACAGGCAGTGGCCTTGCCGGGCTTGGAGGAGCTTGGTATGCCTATACTAACACCATCTCCTGACCTGTCCTTGCCACATCCCACCTCCATTTCAGCTGGACAATCACGGCCGGCGACTGCTCCTCAGTGAGGAGGCGTCACTCAATATCCCTGCAGTGGCGGCCGCCCACGTGATCAAACGGTACACGGCCCAGGCACCAGATGAGCTGTCCTTTGAGGTGAGGCTGTGGGGAAGCAGACTGCAGCTGGGCTCCCCACACCCCCTGCTCCTTCTGACCCTTCTCCTCCCGCCCGCCCCCTCCCAGGTGGGAGACATTGTCTCGGTGATCGACATGCCACCCACGGAGGATCGGAGCTGGTGGCGGGGCAAGCGAGGCTTCCAGGTGAGTCCAGCTAGGTGCGGACAGGTGGGGCTAGGGCACCTGCCAACTGGGGTGGCCCAGCCACTGACCCTGACCTTCCTCAGGTTGGGTTCTTCCCCAGTGAGTGTGTGGAACTCTTCACAGAGCGACCAGGTCCGGGCCTGAAGGCGGGTAAGTGCCATGGACAGACAGGAGGGGTGAGGAGGGGTGGGGAAAGGTGGGGTCTCCTGTGTCTTTTGCCTCCCACTCATCCCTTCCACCCCATTGTTTGCCCAGCAGATGCCGATGGCCCCCCATGTGGCATCCCGGCTCCCCAGGGTATCTCGTCTCTGACCTCAGGTAATAGAAACAGGCTGCCAGATCCCTGCCCCTGCCCCGCCAGGCCCCTGGCCATGCTGACCCCACAAGGCCTGCCTTTGCCCTTTGCCCCGACAGCTGTGCCGCGGCCTCGTGGGAAGCTGGCCGGCCTGCTCCGCACCTTCATGCGCTCCCGCCCTTCTCGGCAGCGACTGCGGCAGCGGGGAATCCTGCGACAGAGGGTGTTTGGCTGCGATCTTGGCGAACACCTCAGCAACTCAGGCCAGGATGGTGAGGCCTGGGCCCACCCACCCCACCCGTCACACCAGGGCTGCGGCCCACCCAGCCCTGACCTTGCTTTCTCTCAGTGCCCCAGGTGCTGCGCTGCTGCTCCGAGTTCATTGAGGCCCACGGGGTGGTGGATGGGATCTACCGGCTTTCAGGCGTGTCTTCCAACATCCAGAGGCTTCGGTGAGGGCCCTTAGCCAACCCTGTCCTTCCACAGGCACCAGCACCTCCACTCCAGCCCCGTGCCGCATGCGGGGGACACAGTTACCAGGAGTCAGGAGTTGCAGGATCAAGGCTGGGGTCAGGGACAGCTCTCTTGAGAGTAGAGTTCACAATCTAAGCGAAGACTCTGTCTTCACCGAGCACCTGCCACGTGCCAGGCACTGTTCTAGGCACTGGGGACACAGCAGTGAGTGAGGCAGCCAGAAACGCCTGCCCTCACAGGGCCCACAGGCTAGAGGAAGAGACAAACAGGGGAGGGATAGAGTTCACCGGAAGATGACAGCTACTGTGGAGGAAAACAGATTGGGGTAGGAGGATGGTGATGAGGAGCCAGGAGGGAGGCCTGCAGTTTTGGATGGCAAGGGCAGAGCCACCTCATTTGAGGACCTGGAGGAGGGGAGGGGCAGGCCATGCAGAGGGAGCAGCGGGGCAAAGGGAACAGGGACAGGAGGCCATGGCCAAGGAGTCCCCATGCCAGTGCAGGCAAAGCCTTCATTTTAGGGTTTTGGCTTGTACTGTAAGTGAAGGGGGAACCGCAGGAGGGCTCTGAGCCAGGGCGGGGTCTAGAAGTGGGGAGGAGCCAGGCGAGATCTTGGCCTGCAGGAGGCTGAGAGGGGAGTGCTTGAAGCCTGCGGGGGGGCCAAGAGGGAGGCAGGAGGTGGCAGTGGGTGGGAGACTTTACCACAGGCAGTGGGGCCCCACCAGAGAACTGGGAGCAGCAGGGTGCTGGGATTTTGTCCACATTTTCCAGTGCCCTCTTACAGCCAGGAGAATGGCGGCTGCTTGGTAGGAGCTGCTCATGCTCTGGAGTCAGTCAGTCTTGGGTAGCTGCAGGCAGAGGCACATCTGCCTGAGCCTCAGCATCCTCCTCTGTAAATGCAGCACCCTTCTCTTTTGCCACACAGGCTTGCTGGGGAGTTCAGTAAGGTTCTGCCTCTGAAGAGCCCAGTGTAGGACCTGGGGAAGAGGGTTCCATCCACCTGCAGGCACTTGGGGGTAGGGGCAGGGGGAGCACGGCCAGGTGAGTGAGCCCCTCTGACCTGGATCTTCCTCCTCCTTGACATGGTGGTCTCAGGCATGAGTTTGACAGCGAGAGGATTCCAGAGCTGTCTGGCCCCGCCTTCCTGCAGGACATCCACAGCGTGTCCTCCCTCTGCAAGCTCTACTTCCGAGAACTTCCGAACCCTCTGCTCACCTACCAGCTCTATGGAAAATTCAGTGTGAGTAAGGGAGCTGGCGGGACGGAGGGGGCCGGGACGCCTCTGACCCAATCCTCATCACACTCACCCACCATCTCAGGAGGCCATGTCAGTGCCTGGGGAGGAGGAGCGTCTGGTGCGGGTACACGATGTCATCCAGCAGCTGCCCCCGCCACATTACAGGTAAACCAGGAGGGGCGGGGTGGGACTTGGTGGGATTCCAAGGGGGTTGAGGCTCAGGTGTCCCCCTCTGCTCCCACCCCCAGGACCCTGGAGTACCTGCTGAGGCACCTGGCCCGCATGGCGAGACACAGTGCTAACACCAGCATGCATGCCCGCAACCTGGCCATCGTCTGGGCACCCAACCTGCTACGGTGAGCTGCTTGCTCGCCTGCCCACCCCTCAGGTCTTTCCCCAAAACCATGCCAGGAACCCACCCAGCTTTTCTTTTGTTTATTCATTGAATACATGTCTATCAAATACCTTCCGTGGACCTGGCCCCATCCCCAGCACTGGGGACACAGCACTGAGCACGGCCCTGTCCTCCTGGGACTCATGTTCTCATGGAGGAGATGGACCATGAACATCAACAGGAAAATACAGAGTAAAGTGTGATGGTGATGAGTGCTGAGGAGGAGAGAGGAGGAGGGAAGGGCAGTGTGAGGTTTTTAGTGAGGGTGGCAAGGGAGGCTTTGGCAGGTCTTCTGTGGCCAGCAGCAGAATAAGCCTGGAGGACTTGATGGTGAACGAGACAGGCATGATCTCTGCCCTGCAGGAGTTCACATTCTCCTGGGGGCACAGATACATAATCAAGTAAAACAGGTGATATGTCAGAGGGCGGGCATATGATGGATGGAGAAAAATAAATGAGAAAGGCCAGGGGTACAGAGAAGAGAGTGTACAGTTTTGAATAAAGTGGGTGAGGAAGACTGCACTAAGAAGGCAACATTTGAGTCAAGACCCGCAGAGGATGAAGGAGAGCCCTGGGGGTGCATCTGGGGAGTGCCAGGTTGAGGGAACGGCAGGTGCAGACATCTGGGCCTGGGCTGGTGCCTGGTGCATTGAAGGAGCCGCAGGGAGGCTGGTGTGGCTGGAGCTGAGTGAGTGAGGGGTTGAAGGAGAGGAGATGATGAGGTCAGAGAGGTGACAGGGACCAGACAGAGGGGTGACTCACAGGTCATGGGTCACAGTGAGGACTTTGCTCTTGCCTGGAGCGAGGTGCAGCCTGGGCAGGGCTCTGAGCCAGGTAGGCCCTGATGGGACTCAGGTGGTCCCAGGATCCCTCTGGCTGCAGGTGGGGACCGTAGCAGGAGGCTAGGAAGGAGGCTCTGGGATGTCTAGGCTGGGGAAGACAGAGGCTGGGCCAGACGCGGCAGTGGAGGGGGTGACAGACTGAACCACAGGAAGAACCACACTGACTGAGATGGGGAAGGCAGGAGGGGCGGGTCTGGGGGAAGGTTGAGAGCCTAGCGAGGTGTGATCAGTTTGAGAAGATCAGAGGTATTGAATAGACAGTCACTGCCTCCACTGGCTCCCCACATTGCCCTGCCAGAACCTGCTGGCTGGGCTCAAGGCACCCAACCTCCCTCCTGCTCCTCCCATCCAGGTCCATGGAGCTGGAGTCAGTGGGAATGGGTGGTGCCGCGGCGTTCCGGGAAGTGCGGGTGCAGTCGGTGGTGGTGGAGTTTCTGCTCACCCACGTGGACGTCCTGTTCAGCGACACCTTCACCTCCGCTGGCCTCGACCCTGCAGGTATGCCCTCCCACCTGCTGAGGTCCTGGCTACTGCCCACCACGGTCAGGGCTGCAGAGGGAGGGCAGGTGGGCTCCCAGTCCCATCCCCACCCCACTGAAGCTGGGCCTCCCTCCCGGCTCCTTGAGGACCCCGCCCCGGCCTCTCCCTCCCCGCGCCCCCCCTCCTTCTCATTTCAGCTCCTCCGCTCAGGATTCCCACCTCTTGGCCCGGACGCCGCTCTTCCTTCACCCCTTGTAGCTCCTGGGGGCGCTTGGGGCCATGGGTCCACCTGGGAGGAGGTGGGAGGTCCCCAGACTTGACCCCTCCCCGGCCCCGCCCAGACTCCCCGCCCTGCCCCGGACCCCAGCCCAGTCAGGACTCTGCTCGTCGGAGGGCCCTCTGGCCCGAGGTAACTGAAGCCAGAGCCGCTGCCCTCGCTGGCTGCCGGGAGCTGCCTCCTCATCAGCTCGTCCTGCCCCGCCCTCCTCCCACCTGCCTGCTGCCCGCCCGCTCCCTCCTGATCTGCCCCGGCCCCCTGCCTTGCCAGCCCGGGTGGGCATGCTGCGGGGCCGGGGCTTGGGCTGTGGCGCTTGGCTTTGCCCGTGGCCTTGGGCGGCCCCAGAGCTGACAGGTGCCCCCTTTCCACACTCCCCAGGCCGATGCCTGCTCCCCAGGCCCAAGTCCCTTGCGGGCAGCTGCCCCTCCACCCGCCTGCTGACGCTGGAGGAAGCCCAGGCGCGCACGCAGGGCCGGCTGGGGATGCCCACAGAGCCCACAACTCCCAAGACCCCCGCCTCACCTGCAGAAAGGTGAGTGGGATGCTGGGGGTGGCGAGGGGCAGGTGGAGGCCTGGTTCCTCAGACGACCTGCCATTTCTCCCCCAAACCGCAGGAGGAAAGGGGAGAGAGGGGAGAAACAGCGGAAGCCAGGGGGCAGCAGCTGGAAGACGTTCTTTGCACTGGGCCGGGGCCCCAGTGTCCCTCGAAAGAAGCCCCTGCCCTGGCTGGGGGGCACCCGCGCCCCACCGCAGCCTTCAGGTGAGAGGCTGGGCCATGGGCTGGTGGGCAGCGGTGGTTGCTAGAGTGCCCCCTCCTACCTCTTCGTCTCCTGCAGGCGGCAGACCGGACACCGTCACACTGAGATCTGCCAAGAGCGAGGAGTCTCTGTCATCGCAGGCCAGCGGGGCTGGTGAGCAAGGGGGGGATGTGGGGGGGCACTATCTGCGCCCAAGTGGAGCCAGGAGGAATTGGGGCCCTGGTTTGGCCTCCAAATTTTGTACTTCACATTTGGGGGTCCTGGGGCTTTTGAAAATTTTAACCTGGCCTTTATGTACAATGAGTTGAATACAGTATCCTTTGGTTCATCACACACTGAACTTATTGGTCCATGACAGGCCCTTTAAAAAGTCTTTATTATTCCTGTTGAACATTTTTAAATAACATTATGGACATCCATGAACCCACCAGCCTAGAACTAAAGCAGCTCCATTCCTTCTCCCCTTCAAGTTCCTCCCCACTGGAGGCATCCTCAATTTGCAGACTACCCTGCCCTTGCTTTCCGGGTTTGATCATACACAGGTGTGTGTGGAAGGATCATACTGCTCAGTTCTAGTCATTTTGGAAACTTTATTTAAAGGGTGTCATAAGAAAGGGGCACCGCGCTTGGCTTTTTCCCCATCGCTACCTCACAGCCTGCCACGCTGCTGGGTGCCGCTTTCCAGCCTCTGCCAGGGGCTGCTTATCCATCCCACCCAGGCATGCCTCTGGGGGCTCTTCTGAACCACCGCGCTGTCCTCACACTCCTGGGGTACTGCCCTCCCATGTACCCAGGAGCACAGGCACTGTCCTGCCGGCTCAGCAGCTGTGTGTGAATCTGTTGGTCTCATGCCCACAGCCTGTGGGGCGGCCACAGGACCTTCGTGCTTTGGGCCGGAAGTGTCCTCTTCATGGTCTCCACCGTGAATCTGAAACAGCTTTTCCTGGCTTCACAGCTACTGTGGCACTCTCTGGGGAGGTGCCTCTTCATGTCCTTTCCCCAGCTTTCTGTGGGGCTGTGCGCCCTGTTCTCAGGGATGGTCTCACTGACTCCACCCCTCCAGGCCTCCAGAGGCTGCACAGGCTGCGGCGACCCCACTCCAGCAGCGATGCTTTCCCCGTGGGCCCAGCACCTGCTGGCTCCTGCGAGAGCCTGTCCTCTTCCTCCTCCTCTGAGTCCTCCTCCTCGGAGTCCTCCTCTTCATCCTCTGAGTCCTCAGCAGCTGGGCTGGGGGCACTCTCTGGGTCCCCCTCACACCGTACCTCAGCCTGGCTAGATGATGGTGATGAGCTGGACTTCAGCCCACCCCGCTGCCTGGAGGGACTCCGGGGGCTGGACTTTGATCCCTTAACCTTCCGCTGCAGCAGCCCCACCCCAGGGGATCCCGCACCTCCCGCCAGCCCAGCACCCCCCGCCCCTGCCTCTGCCTTCCCACCCAGGGTGACCCCCCAGGCCATCTCGCCCCGAGGGCCCACCAGCCCTGCCTCACCCGCTGCCCTGGACATCTCAGAGCCCCTGGCTGTATCAGTGCCACCCGCTGTCCTAGAACTGCTGGGGGCTGGGGGAGCACCTGCCTCAGCCACCCCAACACCAGCTCTCAGCCCTGGCCGGAGCCTGCGCCCCCATCTCATACCCCTGCTGCTGCGTGGAGCCGAGGCCCCGCTGACTGACGCCTGCCAGCAGGAGATGTGCAGCAAGCTCCGGGGAGCTCAGGGCCCACTCGGTGAGTCCTGCTCGGCCTAGCCCACCCCTGTCCCCGCCTGCTCTCACTGACCCTGAGGACCTGGCCTCAGCTGAACCCCTCTCCATTCATTTATATAGGTCCTGAGATGGAGTCACCATTGCCACCCCCTCCCCTGTCTCTCCTGCGCCCTGGGGGTGCCCCACCCCCACCCCCCAAGAACCCAGCGCGCCTCATGGCCCTGGCCCTGGCTGAGCGGGCTCAGCAGGTGGCCGAGCAACAGAGCCAGCAGGAGTGTGGGGGCACCCCACCTGCTCCCCGATCCCCCTTCCGCCGGTCGCTGTCTCTGGAGGTGGGTGGGGAGCCCCCAGGGACCTCAGGGAGTGGGCCACCTCCCAACTCCCTAGCCCATCCGAGTGTCTGGGTCCCGGGACCCCCACCCTACTTACCAAGGCAACAAAGTGATGGGAGCCTGCTGAGGAGCCAGCGGCCCATGGGGACCTCAAGGAGGGGATTCCGAGGCCCTACCCAGGTCAGTGCCCAGCTCAGGGCAGGTGGGGGGGGGCAGGGATGCGCCAGAGGCAGCAGCCCAGTCCCCATGTTCTGTCCCCTCACAGGTTCCTACCCCCGGCTTCTTCTCCCCAGCCCCCAGGGAGTGCCTGCCACCCTTCCTCGGGGTCCCCAAGCCAGGCTTGTACCCCCTGGGCCCCCCATCCTTCCAGCCCAGTTCCCCAGCCCCGGTCTGGAGGAGCTCCCTGGGCCCCCCTGCACCACTCGACAGGGGAGAGAACCTGTACTATGAGATCGGGGCAGGTGAGGGGTCCCCCTATTCTGGCCCTACCCGCTCCTGGAGTCCTTTTCGCTCCATGCCCCCCGACAGGCTCAATGCCTCCTACGGCATGCTTGGCCAATCGCCCCCACTCCACAGGTCCCCCGACTTCCTGCTCAGCTACCCGCCAGCCCCCTCCTGCTTTCCCCCTGACCACCTTGGCTACTCAGCCCCCCAGCACCCTGCTCGGCGCCCCACACCGCCTGAGCCCCTCTACGTCAACCTAGCCCTAGGGCCCAGAGGTCCCTCACCTGCCTCTTCCTCCTCCTCTTCCCCTCCTGCCCACCCCCGAAGCCGTTCAGATCCTGGTCCCCCAGTCCCCCGCCTTCCCCAGAAACAACGGGCACCCTGGGGCCCCCGTACCCCTCATAGGGTGCCGGGTCCCTGGGGCCCCCCTGAGCCTCTCCTGCTCTACAGGGCAGCCCCGCCAGCCTACGGAAGGGGGGGCGAGCTCCACCGAGGGTCCTTGTACAGAAATGGAGGGCAAAGAGGGGAGGGGGCTGGTCCCCCACCCCCTTACCCCACTCCCAGCTGGTCCCTCCACTCTGAGGGCCAGACCCGAAGCTACTGCTGAGCACCAGCTGGGAGAGGCCGTCCTTCCTTCCCTTCACCCCTACTGGATCTTGGCTCAACCAAATCCCTTGTTTTGTATTTTCTTGAGCGAGCCCCAACCACTACCCCAGGTTTCTAACTTTGTAACTTGCTTCTGATGTGGGTCCCTAACCTGTAATCCCAGCTTCCCTACCCTGGACTGAAGGGTCCGCCCATCCCCCCCCTCCATCCTGGGGGCCCTTGCACAAATCTGGGGTGGGGGGGCTAGGCTGACCCCATCCTCCTCTCCCTCCAGGAGCCCCCAGCATGTCCTGACCTGTGCACGGGGGTGGGGGGACAACTCCTACCCTTCCTTCCCCACATGCCCCACTAAACCATCTGACAACATTCATGAATAAAATGGTGAAAATGTGGCTGCTGAAGTCGTGCTGGGGCCAAACTCAGTGAGTGAAGACAGACAGAGGGGGCGCTCTATCATTCTATTTCCTTCTGGGGAGGCACCAAGGCAGGAGTTACTCCTGGGAGCCTCTGAGAGGTGGTATCCGCAGAGCGGGAACCATGGGCACCCTGGGAGTCTAGGTCAGGAGTGGGGCTCAGGCTGGGCTTATCTCCAAGCTGACATCCTTTTTGCAGCTCTGCTATGATCTCCAGCAGGTCCATCCTGGGAAGCAGTGGGGCACAGGCAGACCTAGGGTTACCTCAGGGATAAAGACCTAGGGTTACCCAGGGTCCTCCCATCCGAGGCCTCAGGTCTCACTTCTGCAGGCTGGAGAAGAGACCTTCTCCAGTCAGCTCAGTAGCGGGTGCCTGCAGGAGAGAAGGCTGGAGATGCCACCTGGTAGCCATGGCGCTCCAGCGGACCTGGGAGGGCGGATGGGGCACAGACTGGGCTCGGGGTCCTCTGCTTAGCCTGCCCTCGTGGCCTTCCAGCAGCCTCCCAATGTGTAGGAAGCCTCCCTGTGGGTCAGCAGGCTGGGGATGGGCTCATAGGGCTGGGGCTCCAGCAGAGTAACCCTGTGTGTGTGCCACAGCAGCCCCTGCAGGGCTGGAATCTTGGCTGAGAGCTTCCTCAAACTGCTCCATAGAGCTCTGGGTCCCCAGCAGGGAGGCTGAGTCCTGGAGGCTGGAGGTGGAGTGCAGGGAAGGGCCCTGGAGGAAGCAGGGTTGGTTAAGGGTCACAGGTGAATGAGGGGACAGTTGGGCGACCCTAAAGTTCCCTGGTCAAAGGAGAGGCAGCCAGAGAACTTGGGGTTGGTGACTACTGGAGGGCAGGCAGAGGTAGTCACAGGTTAGCAATGGGACAGTCGTGCAAGGCTCTGGGGGTATCTGTACTGTTGGGCTGGGCTCCAGGCAGCAGTGCAGGCTGACCCTGGCTGTGGGGCTGTGGCCAGACCCAGGGCTGGGGCCTGAGCTGGGCCCAGAGCTGCTGCCTAGAGTCAAGCTGCTGCCCAACCTCCAGGCTGCACCCTGCTGTGGCCTGTGACCTCAGGTGTCTCTGGGGCCTGCAGAGAGGGATGGCAGAGAGCTGGCATGGGTTGCCCAGGTGTCCCACAGCTCCCTTGGTCCCCCACAGCCCCGTCCTGGCTCCTACCTGGAATGGGATGGGTCCTGGGGACATCACAGGGGGCACACACCTGGGTGTGGTCTTGGCTCTGTGAGCCACTTCACAGCACACTTTCTCTGTGGGGACAGACCAGTTGGTCAGATGGGGGGCACAGTTCAGCTGTGCCCAGCACCTGCCAGCATCCCTTCCTTGCCCTCTAACCTGATGGGGAACCCTGGGGTGCAGGGGACAGCATGGTCTACTCCATCGGGGAGCTCACCTCAGGAGCCGTATCCTCTGGACCGGAGGCTGGGTATGGGGACACAGGCCTGCCTGGGGTCCCATGGCCACCACCCACCCCCTGCTGACCTGCCCTGTACCTGGGCCGTGGCCTCCCGCAGTAGGTATTGGGTACTCCGCAGGCTGCCCCAGCAGTCAGCAGGTGCTAGGCCTAGCCCAGCTCGAACCTGGCACAGTGCCGGCACCTGGGGGTCCAGGGCCAGTCTCTCCCCTGCCTCCAGCTTGGCCTTCACCTCAGGTCCCCCTCTCCCAGCCCAGGGCAGCCCTCCTGCCAGGAAGCACAGTTAGGGACCCAAGCAGGAGGGTGCCTCCATGGGGTGGGGCGTAGCCACTCACTGACCAGTGAAGACCTCCTGGGCCAGGATGCAGAAGCTGTAGAGGTCTGAGGTGGTGGTGGGCATGTCACCACAGATCAGCTCAAGTGGCAGCCATGGGTACAGTTCAGGGGGCTGGGGAAGCCCTGGGCCTGGGCCTCCCCAGGGGTAGCCCTTCTGCAGCCTGTGGAGCCCAACGGGCCTGGTGAGCCAACGGCTGCTGGACAGGGACCTGGACCTGCCACCAGACAGAGGAAAACAGACCCCAGGTCACACAGCCCAGCACCCAGCTCCTACACCACTCACAGTGCCCCTCCCCACCCCCACCTCCTCCCTGGGGCCTACTGGACACCACTGCCCGTGGCCACAGAGGCTGGAGACTGGGGGGGAGCATGCAGGCCCAAGTCAAGGGGCAGCAGGTGGGGCAGGCACTCACCTGGGCCGCAGCCAGGGCTGTTACAGGAGGCGCCCGTGCTCCACGTGGCCCACTTTAGCCGAGCCTGGCCGCACCAGCTGCACGGCATGGGAGCTGAAGCCGCTGTGAGCTCACCAGCAGGCCTGCAGGAACAGCAGGACCTTTAGCACCTGCAGCAGCAAGGGGCTGGGGGCAGGCCCAGCACAGTCCCAGGTGCCTCCTCACTTGGTCTCCGCGGGTGCAGCACCCTGTGCAAGGAGCCCAGCCACACAGGCTCAAAGAGAAGGCACAACCCTGACAGGTCTGCAGAGGGATGCAGTGCCATCAGCAGCAACAGGCCAGGGTGGTGCAGCGTGCTGGGCAGGGGGACAGCAGGCCACTCACAAGCAGGACCCAGCCACACAGGGTGGGAGATGCTCCTGGGTTCAGACCGCCCACCATGTGCCAGGGCAGGCGATCTGCACCTGCCACCGGACAGAGGAAAGACTGACCCCAGGTCACGCAGCCCAGCAGTGGGAGGGCCAGCACCCAGCGCCTACCTCATCCTGGTGGCCTCCCCACCCCCACCTCCTCTCAGGCTTACAGGGCACTGCACACAGAACTGGTACCCACCCACTTTCCAGTGGGGGGATCGCCCCAGCAGGAGGGCTCCATGCCGGGTGCTGGCCCAGAAGTGAAGACTGGCCATGGTTACTGTCACACACCCTAGTCTTCCATGGGAGGGCCAACAGGAGGCTGGGCTGGGGGCTGGCACTGGTACCTGCAGTGGTGAAGGTCAGCCAGCAGCACATCTGTCTGGGTTCCAGGGGCCTTCAGCTGCTGCTCGGTCACGGTGTGGCCCATCCACAGGAGGCTGGAGAGTGGGGGTGGGGCAATACAGGCCTGAGACGAGGGGGCTTTCCCCGGGAGGGGAGCAGGAGAGCTGGCAAGGGCACAGCAGGGCTCTCACTTGGCCATGAGGGTGTGGGAGCTGCTCTTATAGGTGTGGTCGGGCTCTCCCTGGGCTACCAGCAGCTCCTTGGAGTTCACAAGGGGGATGCCCATTACCAGCACTGATGGCCACAGGCTACTCAGCTGGGAACAGGCGGGACCATGAGGCACAAAGAAGATAGGGGTGGTTCCCACTCCCACAGCCGCTCCCGCTTACCTGACCAAACCCCAAGGCCGGGACTTGGGAGGCTCTCCTGATCTGCACTAGCCTCAGCATCCTGGGTTGGGGGCAGGCCGAGGGTAAGTCTGGGGTGGCTGGGAATGGCGGGTGGGTGGGCTTCAGGATGTGGATGGTTACCTGTAGGCCTGCATCAGCTCCAGGGAGGACAGGGAGCCTGGCGGGCTGTTCCCAAATCTGGCCTGCAACCGGTCCAGAGATGCCATGGATGGCAACTCACCGTCATGCACTAACGCTGATATGTGGGACTGGCAGAGCTGCAACAGCTCCAGCAACTGCAGGAGTGCACGTGGGGTGAGGCCCGATGGGCACCGGCCCTGATCCCTCACTCCCACCAGGGCCACTGCTCACCTCCCAGTTCTGCTTGGCCCCACCCTGCTCAGCCCAGTCTCATGGTGTGTGACCCCGCTGGTCATGCAGTTGCAAGTCACCCCCTGCCTGCCACAGGGGTACCATCACCAGAGAAGGCGCCTGCGTGCACGGGGGTGTTGCCATTCAGACAGCAGCTAGAGCAGAACAACGTGGGTGGGAATCAGTTAGGGAAGGGACTGAACAGGGACAAAAAGGGGCAGGATGGGGGCCCTGGGGGTGGGAGGAGTCACCGTGTCATGGCAGGGGTCACGTGAAGACATGATGGGGTCTTCAGGGAATGAGGATCACTGGGAGCAGGGAGGCACTGGGAGAATGGGAACAGTCCCTGGGGAATGAGAAGAGGTTAACTGAGAGAACAAGGAGGGTCACTGGGGGGACAGGAGGGTCACCAGGAAATGGAAGAGGCATCATGAGGGAGAGATGCCTCAGGGGAAGAGAGCCCTGGCTCTCAGGTTTTCTGGGGCTCAAGCTTGGGTCCCTGGGATTGGGGGCATCACTGGCTGGCCAGTCACTGGTTGGGGTTGGCACCAAAGGCCAACAGGAGCTGCACGGCAGAGCTGTGGCCCAGCAGCGCCGAGAGGAAGAGCGCCATCTGCCGCGAGGAGTTCTCCCTGTCCACCTGGTCACCTAAGGGGCGGGCAGCCTTAGGGTGCCCCTGGCCTACACTCCTGGGTTGGAGACCTGAAGGCCACTAGACAAACACCCTTGCCAATTCCCATCCTCCACAGCCCCTCCATGACTGGATGACCATGGACCCCAGGTTCCATCACTGTGTCCTGGAACCCCTGCCCTCCAACTGCTGAGGACCATGCCTCGAAATCCACCTCAACACAGTGCTCCCAAAATCATTAAGTCCACAGAGTTGAAACAAGGGGTGACATCTGCCTGCCATGCAAACATCTATTCCGCAACCCAGGGGGATCAAAACCACACAAAGGTCCCCAGGGGCCAGGAGGAAGTGGATTTCAGGGGACTTTGACTTCCAGGAACCTTGTGCACTGGCCGGGACAGGTGGACTCCACCCAGCTGTAACTCAGTGTGGTACACACAGGTCCCATGAGGCCAGCACTCAACTCTTCAAGTAAAGCAAACTCTGGATTTTATCAGGAGCTCTCTCAAATTTTATTTATTTTAATTTTTAATTTTTTGTAGAGATGGGGGTCTCACTATATTGCCCAGGCTGGTCTTGGACTCCTGGGCTCAAGCAGTTCTCCCGCCTTGGCTTCCCCAAGTACTGAGATTACACACCTCAGTTTCCCAAAGTACTGAGATTACAGGCATGAGCCACAATGCCCGGTCTCAATTTTATTTTTGAAGCCTGCATCTAAGGGCTCAATCCAGGTGGCAACCTCCTCCATGCCCTTACCTCCAGGCCTCTGCCAATCCCCTCCCCATCCCCAACTATCTTCCTGCTCAGCTCCCCATCCCAACCACTCACCCCTGCCCCAAGCCCTGGATCTCTCCACTGTCATTCCCCAGTTCCCTTTCCTCCAGCCTCTACCCCAGGTAGGACAAATGCACAGCATCCTTGTCCTTGCATTCTTGTGTCCTTGGCAGACATGTCTAATTATTCATGCACTGGGTTCAACCCAGCGTGGTCTCTGCCACAAAACCCCTCCAAATGTGGACCTTTAGGAACCTCTGAATACCAGATTTGTGGCATTGCATTTGACTCAGTAGCCCACCATCTTTTACAACAGCATCTTAACTGCCTTTCTGCACTCATCCTGCCCCACAGAGGCCTTTTTAAAAAAAAAAAATTTTAATTTTTTTTTTTTTTTTTGAGACAGAGTCTCAATCTGTTGCCCAGGCTGGAGTGCAATGGCACAATCTCGGCTCACTGCAACCTCCGCCTCCCAGGTTCAAGTGATTCTCCTGCCTCAGCCTCCCAAGTAGTTGGGATTACAGGCATGTGCCACCATGCCAAGCTAATTTTTTTTTTTTAAAGTAGAGTAGGGGTTTTGCCATGTTGGCCAGGCTGGTCTTGAACTCCTGACCTCAAGTGATCTGCCCACCTCGGCCTCCCAAAGTGTTGGGATTACAGGCGTGAGCCAGTGCGCCTGGCCTTTTTATTTTTTTTTTCTTTTTCTTTTTTTTTTTTAAAAAAGACAGAGTCTTGTCAGGCATGGTGGCTCATGTCTGTAATCCCAGCACTTTGGGAGGCCAAGGCGGGCAGATCACCTGAGGTTGGGAGTTCAAGACCATCCTGACCAACAGGCAGAAACCTCGTCTCTACTAAAAATACAAAAATTAGCTAGGCCTGGTGGTGCATGCCTGTAATCCCAGCTACTCAGGAGGCTGAAGCAGGAGAATTGCTTGAACCTGGAAGGCGGAAGTTGCGGTGAGCTGAGATCGTGCCACTGCACTCCAACATGGGCAACAAGAGTGAAACTCCGTCTCAAAATAAATAAATAAATAAATACAATAAAATAAAGACGGAGTCTCACTGTATCACCCAGGCTGGAATACAATGGTGCCATCACAGCTTACTGCAGCCTCAACCTCCTGGGCTGAAGTGATCCTCCAACCTCAGCCTCCTGAGCAGCTAGGACTACAGCACACTCCAGAGCACCTGGCCCGAGGTCTCTTCTTAAAATACAAATCACTTTTAAGCACTAGATAATCTTATATGAGTTGTTCCAAAGAAAAGAAAAATAGAAAAAGAGGGCAAGCCTCATTTTATGAGGCTAGCAAGACCTTAATTCCAAAACCAGATGAAAGTTTTCAGAACAGAAAGTAAGATTATATATCAATTGCATATATATGCAAAAACCTTAAATAAAATAAAAATAAATTTATCCCCATAAAGCAAGGATGATTCAACATAAGAAAATCTATCAGCTGGGCATGGTGGCTCATACCAGTAATCCCAACACTTTGGGAGGCCAAGGCAGGTGGATCACCTGAGGTCAGGAGTTCAAAGCCCCTTCTCTACTGAAAATTCAAAAAACTAGCCAGGTGTGGTGGTATGCGCCTGTAATCCCAGCTACTAGGGAAGCTGGGACAGGCGAAACGCTTGAACCTGGGAGGCAGAGGCTGCAGTGAGCGGAGATTGCACCACTGCACTCCAACCTGGGTAATAAGAGTGAAACTCTGTCTCAAAACAAACAAACAAAAAATTAAAACTAGTAAGCAAGTTCAGAAAGTGGCCTGAAACACAATCAACTTTACAAAAATCAAAACAGAAATTGTACATTATTAATTTAATGGGTTTTTGTTTTTGTTTTGAGACAGGGTCTCACTCTGTTGCCCAGGCTGGAGTGCAGTGGCCTGATCAAGGCTCAGTGCAGCCTCAACCTCTTCGGTTCAAGCAATCCTCTCTGCTCAGCCTCCGAGTAGCTGGGACTACAGGTATATGATGCCACCACTCCCAGGTAATTTTTAAAAATAGAGATAGGGTCTTGCTATGTTGCCCAGGCTGGTCTCAGACTCCTGGACTCAAGCAATCCTCCTATCTCAGCCTCCCAAAGTGCTGGGACTATAGGTGTGAGCCATGTGGAACAGGTTGCCCAGCCTAATTTAATGTTAATTATAATGTTAATATCCTGCTTACAATGCCAATAGTTTCCTATCACACACACAAAATCCAACAAAACTCACACTCTTTTAGAGGCCCTTAACTGTGTGAACTTGTGGCCTCTTCAGCCTCAGGTCTCTCCTAGTCCTGCTGCTACTCACATGTGGGCAGTTCATTTTGACTTCAGAGTGTTTGCACAGCCTCTTCATCACTCCCCACTTCTTTTTTTTTTCCTTTTGAGACAGAGTCTTGCTCTGTTGCCCAGGCGGGAGTGCAGTAGCATAATCTCAGCTCACTGAAACCTCTGCCTTCCGGGTTCAAATGATTCTCCTGCCTCAGCCTCCCAAGTAGCTGGGATTACAGGCACGTGCCACCATGCCTGGCTGATTTTTGTATTTTCACCATCATGGCCAGGCTGGTCTCAAACTCCTGACCTCAAGTGATCCGCCTGCCTCGGCCTTCCAAAGTGCTGGGATTACAGGCATGAGCCACTGCACTCCACCATCTCTCCCCACTTCTTTTCCCCTTTTTTGCATGGCTGACTCTTATGCTGTGAGACTCAAGCATCCTCCACTTGAAAGGCCATACTGTCTAGTGTCTCATCCTCATCCCACTGCATTTCATTCCCAGTGGTCCAAGGGTCATGTTCACCCTTAAATCCCCATCAGGGACCGCAGAGCTCGGGACACAGTCAGTGCTCGGTACCACTGCTGACTGGCCAACTGAAGCCACACCTTCCATACAGCTCCTTGATCCTGCCCCCACAGATGTACCCGCAACCAGGCCCTCACCTCTCAGCAGGAGCCTGGCCGGGCCCCATCCTGGGCTCCCCCGCGACAGCCACGTGGTGCAGACGGCCCACCTGGGTGTCTAGATCCCTCTCGGAACCCAGCTCCACTGGGAAGCGAAAGGGCAGTGAGGGCGTCTGTGGGGTCCGGTTCCGGGGCAGGGATCCGCTAGGGGGTCTCATGAGGGAAGGGGGATGTGAAGGACCGGAACTTTGGGGACAAGAAAACAAAGACAGAGTTGGCTGGGGGTTTTGGGGGCGCAGTCTAGAAGGGAAGGGGATTCAGGAGGGGTCTGATGGGAAGGGAGGCGGCTGAATGAGAAAAGGGGGTGGCTCTGGGAGGGCGACACACCAGAAGGTCTGGGGTCGCAGGGAGACTGAGAGCTGAGGGGGATCTAAGGCAATTGGGGGGCTAGGAGGGGGCTTAGGGCTGGGGTCGGGCGTGCCAGGGTGGCAGAAGGGCTGCGAGGATAGAATCTGAGCCTGGGAAGGGAGTCGAAGGGCTCGGGAGGAGGCTCTGAAGGCTGCGGTGGGAGGAAGAGGCGCCTGTGGTTTAGGATTTGAGAGGTGGTGAGAGGGGTCGTGGGGAGGCTCTGGGGACAGCGTCTGTGGGGTCCGCGGGGTGGATGGGGTCTGAGGGCAGCCAGCGGGCTCTGAAGGAGGAGAGGGCACTGATGGCAGGATCTGCCGACGGTGCGAGGGTCCGAGGGTGGGACGCCTGGACTAAGGACTAGGGAAGTGTCTGTGTGTTGGGGGTGGGGTCTGCAGGCTGGGAAAGGGGGCTCTGAGGACAGTGTCTGGGGCTGGGGAAGGGGTCAGCGGAATGGGGACAGGGTTTGCTAAACGGGTGGGGGCGGGGTCTGAGGGCCGCGGAAGAGAATGACAGGGTGGGAGGGGCTTGAGGGCTCGCGGAAGGGTCTGAGGGTGATCTGCGGTACCAGAAAGCTCGGGGAAAGTTCGGGTCCCAGAACCCAGTCCTGGTGGCTTTGCACTCACCGTTGGGCTAGACAGTGGTCGCCACGTGATTCGGCCGGCCGTATGAGCGGGAATCCGAGTTGCTTGAGCCCCAGTGGCCTCCCGCAGCGCCTGCGCAGTAGCACCCCCTTCCCCAACACAGCCCAGCGACTCGGCCTGGGACCCATCGCCCTGACCAGTCGGGGCTGTCACTGTCTGAGGATGGGGCTGTCTACCCACACCGGACTAAGCTCTGTAAGGCAGGACCTGGGGTCGTTCTTGTCACTGTTGTGTTCACAGCCTTGTTCACACCAGCCCTAGCTCAAAGGAGGCCTCATTCAGTGCTTTTATTCTCACTCTGTCGCCCAGGCTGGGGTGCAGTGGCGCGATCTCGGCTCACTGCAACCTCCATCTCCCAGGTTCAAGCAATTCTCCTACCTCAGCCTCCCGAGTAGCTGGGATTACAGGCTCACACCACCACGCCCAGCTAATTTTTGTATTTTTAGTAGACACGGGGTTTCACCATGTTGACCAGGCTGGCCTCCAACTCCTGACTTCTGCCCATCTTGGCCTCCCAAAGTGCTGGGATTACAGGCATGAACCACTGTACCTGGCGTTTTTCTCAGACAGGATCTCACTCTGTTGCCCGGGCTGGTGTGCAGTGGTGAGATCATAGCTCACTCCAGCCTCCACCTCCAGGGCTCAAGCCAACCTCCTGCCTCAGCCTCCCAAGTAGCTGGGACCACAGGCACAGGCCACCCACCACACCTATTTTTTTTTTTTTTAAGGTGGAGTCTCGCTCTGTCGTCAGGCTGGAGTGCAGTGGCACTATCTTGGCTCACTGAAACCTCCGCCTACCAGGTTGAAGCGATTCTCCTGCCTCAGCCTCCCAAGTAGCTGGGACTACAGGTGAGTGCCACCCCGCCAGGCTAATTTTTGTATTTTTAGTAGAGACAGGGTTTCACCACGTTGGCCAGGATGGTTTCGATCTCTTGACCTCGTGATCCATCTACCTCAGCCTCCCAAAGTGTTGGGATTACAGGTGTGAGCCATCGCACCTGGCTAGCTAATTTCTTTCTTTCTTTTCTTTTCTTTTTTTTTTTTTTTTTTTTTTTTTGAGAGATGTGGGGTTTCACTATGTTGCCCAGACTGGTCTCAAACTCCTGACCTCAAGCAATCCACCTGCCTTGGTCTCCCAAAGTGCTGGGATTACAGGCATGAGCCACTGCGCTTAGTTTCATTCAATGCTTATTAACTGACAGAATGACTTGGCTCTTTCTTCTGTCCCTCCCTGGCCACTTGGCCTAGACCAAGCCCCTTGACTTCAGTGCCTTGGTGTCTGCTCTCTCTCCATGTGTGCCCTTCCTTTAGGCATCCCCTGGGATGAAGAAAGTTCTGCATCAGTCACTGGTCAGACCCAACCCAGGATGGGCTGCCTCAGAGGTGGGGGAGGCTTCCTTAGTCCTCCATCAGTGCCCTTACTATTCTCAGTGGGTGTCTAACGATCTTTTTCTTTTCTTTTCTTTTGAGACGGAGTCTTGCTCTGTTGTCCAGGCTGGAGTGCAGTGGCATGATCTCAGCTCACTGCAAGCTCTGCCTCCTGTATTCATGCCATTCTCCTGCCTCAGCCTCCCAAGAAGCTGGGACTACAGGTGCCCACCACCACGCCCGGCTAATTTTTTTTTTTTTTTTTTTTTTTGTATTTTTAGT